GCGCTCGTGACCTCACGGCCGAGGCCCTGCACAAGCCGGCTTCCCGGCCGCGGCTCTCTGCGTCCTGCGGAGCGGGGCCTGCGGGTGGAGGTGGCGGCCAGCCCCGTAAGGAGGCGGCGGACCCCAGCGGCAGGCGGTCTAGAACTCCATTTCCCATCAGGCCCTTCTCAGTATCGCGAGAGCAGCACGTGACCGCCGGAATGACTTCTGCGCAGGCGCGGCCTCGCGCTCTCTCCGCGGCGGGCCTCGTGGCCGTGGCTCATGGCTGCCGACTCGAGCGCCGGTCGCGGCGGGCAGGCTCGGGCCTGGAGGAAGGTGAGGCTGAGGAGACGGGACGCGGCGTCTTCCCTGACATGGCGATAAGCCCGGGCCACCCCCGCGAGGGTGGCGGGGACCAGTGAACGTGCTGCCCACGCGGCCGGGCCACCCGTTCCGTGGAAGGGCGGACGGTCCCGGTCCGCGCTTCGGCGCCGAAGAGCCTCCGGGGCGGCCCGCCACACGTGCCACCACCCCGTGTGCCTCCCGGGGCTCAGCCCGCAGCGCCCCGCTGCCCACCGCGGGCGGCCTGCAAGTGTGGCTCTCGGGTCTGCAGCAGGCGGCCTCGGGGACAGGCGCGGGCCCTCCGTTTATGGGGCATGCTGCAAACGAGATCGCCAACTTCTCCGAGCCTCCGTGGCCAGTCGGATCATGCTTTTCTCTCTCCTCCACAGCGGTCTGCTGGCGTCGGGAAAGACGGGGGCGTTGCCGAGCCGCAACGGATGGACCTTGGAAATACGAGTGACCCAGGCGGCCTTCCGAAATGAGGAAGCAGACACGGGGTGAAGACCGCGCGCCCCCTCAGACTCAGTGCTGAAGTAAGTTCACTCCTAGGAGTACGTGTGCCCGCGGGAATCCAGGGAGGGGTATTTAAGAACATCCACAGAGCGGGCATTTCCTCCAGGAGTTCAAAGGGAAGGGGCCGTCCCGGTGTAACTGGAGGCCATCGAAACCATGAGTTGGAACCCCCAACCTCCCCGAGTCAATTCTGGAGGCAAGCCCTCCAGCCCGACCCGGAGAGAAAGGTGAGGCAGTGTGCTTTCACATGAACGCCATGCCTGTGGCCGTGGGCTTTGGAGGTGGTGCGAAGGATGGCTCGCTCCCCCTGCCTGGGAGCAGAACGTGTTTGGTGTGTCCCAGCGCATCACCAGGGGCACCGGAAGCCAGCATCGGGTGGCAGCGAGGGCCACTGTGGAGATGAGGGACTTGGGCAGATCTTGTCCGTTCTGGGACTTGGAGACGCTGGCTCCTTGGTTGAGCTGAGGATGATTTTGAGTTATCCCTGTCTGAGACTCTTGTGAAGAGTGTGACTTGCTGAGGCTCAACTGCAAAACCACTGTCTTGGGAACAAGCAGTGCACAGGAGCTCTTGTTGACTGACCCTCATCATGCTTGTCTCCGGTAGGTTAAAGGGGCCCTTGTGGGCTTTCCGGAAGTCACGTGGAAGCCACATTGAGTCGCTGGAGTAAATGGTGTTCCGTGATAACATGCCCGACCACGGTAAGGTGGGGAGCTTTGCAGGGTCGCGTGGGTTGGGGTCCCTTTGGGAGCTCCCCCCTCCCAGTGGTACAGATGGTTAAGCACTGGGCTGCTACCTAAAGGTTAGGAGTCAAGGCCATCCAAGGGTCTTCTGAAGAAAGAGGTTAGTCCACTTGCTCCAAGTTAGGTGTGAGGCTAGACCCAGCACCGTCTCAAGTCTGGCTCTAGGCTGTGTGCCTGTCAAGGCTGTGTTCTCTGGCACAGTCATAGCGTGTCTCGGTTTGCCACGCCACGGCACATTGTTGGTTCTACCAGGAAATAGGAGATGGTGAGTTGTTCCCTTCTGGGACGTTGGCCGTAACCTAGAGACGGTGTTGGTGGTCACCTTTGGAAAGGGCTTGCTGTTAACACCCAGTAGATGCTGCCAAACAGCTCACAGGACTTACATATGCCAGTTGCCCTGCGCACGTGGCACATCCGAGGTCCAGAAGCCATGTCTTACACAAGTTCCAGAGACTGAGTTGTCCTTGTCTCAGCTCTGTTAACAGGTAACTGCCCTGGACCCTTGTCCTCAGGTGGGAAAACAGGGATAATGGGTTGACTTCACTGCCATCTAATCAGTTCTGATTCCGTGACCTTACAGGACACAGTAGCGCTGCCACTATCCCTGTGGGTGTCCGAGACTAACTTGGGAGGAGGCTGGTGGGTTAGACCTGCTGATGTTGGCGGGCACAGCTCAATATCTAACCTGTCATGCCCCCAGAGCACCTTTAGGCCTGGCTGATCCTCAGATTCCCCTGCCCCCAGCCTCCCCACGAGGCTCTTGGTGGGGAACAGTGAGGTGACCAGGTGTGCTTTTAACTTGCAGGCAAGATGATGGGGTTGATTTTAAGATGCTGCCACCCCAGAGCTGTAATTCTCAGAAAATGGAGGCCATTTGCTTGCTCAGGTCATGAGGACATGACCTTGGTGGCATCTGCTTGGCAGTAATGACTGTGATTCTCTACAAGTGGGCCACGTTAGGTGTAAGGGTGCGCCCCCCACATGGCTTCCAGGAGTTGTGTCATCCGTGACCCCTCTGGCAAGTGGGGGCGGGCAATGGCAGTGTTGGATCTGCAACATGGTGTCTCTCAAACCAAACTCATTGTTAATTGAGTTGCTTCTGGCTCAGGGACCCTCTAGGACAGGGTGGAACTGCCCCTGTGGAGTAGAAAACCTCCTTTCCTGCCCAGGGGTCAGCAGCCCAGCATGTAACCACTATGCCACAGAGACTCTGGGTAAAGGATTTAAAGGGGGAAATAGGATGCTGCCCTTGGGCTGTAGGGTCTGGACAAGGAAACCAGGCGGTGGGCTCTCAGGAGGGAGGAAGAGCAAGTGCAGTGTCTGGGCACTGAGTGGATGATGATGCAGTTATCCCTGTCTGAAGGCGAGCAAAGCCTTTGTGTGGAACTCGACAGCCTGACACTCAGACTCACAGGCGGTGTGGGGGGCAGGTGGGCATGCACCCTGTGAGTAGATGGTTCTGTCTCCCACTCACCAGGTACAGTCTGAGGTGCTGGACCTGCTGTTGCTTGAGACCTAGAGCCAAGCCAGATGCTGCTCCGAGGTAAGCGGAGGCTGGCCCACTGTCCCTGCCGTGCACTTGGGGGTGGTGCTGGGGGCCAGGAGACTTTCAAGGTTGCTACCCACCCTTTAATACAGTTCCTCATGTTGTGGTGACCCCAACCATAAAATTATTTTCGTTGCTGCTTCATAACTGGAATTTTGCTACTGTCATGAATCATCATGTGAATATCTGATATGCAGCATGTATTTTCATTGTTATAAATTGAACATAAAGCATAGTGATTAATCACAAAACGTCATTATACATAGTAAAATATTTCTAATGACATGAAATTTTGTCTTGAAGCGTGGTGTAGCATGGGTCACAGTCTTCACGCTGGGTGCTCGTGGGAGTATCTGCGTGTGGGTGGGCCCACCTGGAGACAGATGGAGAAGCGGTGTCTCCATTCCTAAGACCATCAGAAATACGTTGGTCTTAGGTGACCCCTGTGAAAGAGTCATTCGACCTCCAAAGGGGTTGCGACCCACAGGTTGAGAACTGCTTTTTTTAAGTCATTTTATTGGGGCCTCATACAACTCTTATCACAATCCATACATACGTTAATTGTATAAAGCACATTTGTACATTCATTGCCTTCATCATTCCCCAAACATTTGCTCTCACGTAAGCCCCTGGCATCAGAACTGCTGCTTTAAGGTGGTGGGTAAAAGGTCTTGCAAGTTGAGACAGGAGTGTAAGAAAGGGGCCCAGTGGTGGTGACCCTGCCTTCAGGAGAAGGCACCTTGGGATTGGCAGAGCAATTTCCAGCAGCTTTGCTGCTGCAGAGTGCATTTCTGTTCAGTTGGCATGGGTGGGGCTCGCTGCCATGTGAGCCAGAGAACAGTCAGGTGGTACTTGGAGGGCCCTCGCTGTTCCATTGGCGTGCCAGGCCTGAGGCGGGGACAGGTGGTGGCTGTTGGCGGGCGGTGCGGTTGGGTACCAAAGGCGAGGAGGGGCACCTTTTTCTTGCAGAAGGCCATTAAAGACAGTTTAAAAATTAGCCTGTATTTGGTCAGTTCACTCACCTCTGATGTGCCGGCTGGGCCAGCGTCTCTGGTGCGCGTGTGATGTTAGCTGACCTTGGTGGTTTCTCCAGCCTTAACACAGCTGAGGCTGGGTGTTCCCCTCCCCTGCTGTAAGGTTAAGGCAGTGGTCTTTGCTCAGGGCTTTAAGAGGCATGTGGACAGGAAAGCTGTCCCCAACTGCCAGTAGCACAAAGTGGAAAGGGCACGGCAGTCACTTGGCAGCCATTAGGTTAGACTTTCAGGCTTTGCGTCTGGGTGCAGCTGCAGGCCAGTCTCAGCCTGCTGAGTGCAGCTCTCCATCCCCCCGGGACAGGGCTAGCTAGATGGCCCTGCTAGACAATCCCCTGTCTCTGGGGTGAGTCCTTCCCTTTTCTGTTTTGAACCTGAATCCATTGGTCATTAATCTAACTGTTCTCCTTCAGCCCCACAGGTGGTGACTGGGCACCCTCCTCCAGACCCTCGCTCATTACCTGGACACCGGCTGCTGGCAAGGACTGGAGCTCTGGCTAGAGCACCATTTCCTGGGTGGTCTTTGTGTGAGGTTGTCATGGGTTCTTAGTTTACATTTTGAAGCCCAAATAAAAAGGATTTTATTCACCGGACTCACCTGTGCTGTGGTTTTCCGAGGGAAGGACTTTCTGTCCTGAGACTCAGGACACAGCTTCGCTGTGCTAGAGTGAAATTGTGAGCACTCCAAATGCATTCACAGGGCCCCAAATGATCCTTCAGATCCTTGACCAGGGGTGTAGGTCATCTTGCCCTCAGGCTGAATGCTTTACAAAGCCGATCACCACCTGCTCCAGCCATCCCAGGGAGGGGACCGGCTCTTGGGGAGTGTCCTGGGTGTTTCCTTGCTGGAAGTCACTAGTACTGGGGGCAGGGAGCAGGTCGGATCGAATACCCGGCAGTCTCAACCTGTCTGCCTTGGTCTCAGGCTCTGGACCCACCTTGCAAGCCTTTCTGATGTACTTGTCCCAGTCATAGACCTGTACCTGTTTGTCCTTGGGAGCCATTTTGCCCTCAGGCTAGTTAATGGCCACCTTGTCTGGATTATTCTGTGTCATGTCCATTTGAACCTTAAGGTGTATTTGAGTTATATTTGAGATTGGGGGCTCTTGTACCCTCAAATTGCTAAGTGGAATGCCTTCTACACAGGAAGTTAGTCTGACCTTTTCTATCTTGCCTACAAGTCGGCCCAAAGCCCCCGTGGAGCAGTGGGAATGCGGCCCTCTAATTCCCAAAATGGACTGCAAGCCACACTGGCCTTGTGAGCTCCAGGGCTTCATGGCTGGCTTCGGGTAGTCAGTGGCTATTCTGGAAGTGCCCCTTAGCACACAAAGTGCAGGAAGGTTGGAATGTTGGCCTCAAATTGGACCTGGGTCTCCCTGTGGAAGACAAGAATTACCACGGAGCCCCCCCAGTGCCTCTGCTCAGTGTCGGAGTTGCCCACTCTGACCCTGAAGGACAAGCTAGCTAGAACTGTACCCCATTTGAGCCTTAGCATTGTGGGAGCAGAAAGCCCTGTCTCCTGAGAAGTGGCTAGTGGTTTCCAACTGGGACCTTGTGGGTTGCAGGCCAAAGCATGACCAGGGCTCCTTTAGGGGCTTATAAAGGATCCTTAAATCCTGATGGTGTGGGACCCACAGACAAGGCTCAAATCCAGTGAAGGAGGGACAAGTTTCTGGGAGCATGAGTAAAAGGGCTGTGGGCCCCAGATTTGGACAGTGTTGGGGGTACCTAGCAGGGCAGCTGCCTTCCTAAAAATGACGCTGCACATATTTAGTTTTTTCTAAAGCAAGTATTCTGTCCATGGGAATGTTCTGGGTACTGGTGGAGGAGCAGGTTGGTGACCCCAATTCATTCCCTGAGTGCTAAACAGGCTGGATCCTGCCAGTCTGGCAGAGACCCTCTGCAGGACAGCCCCTCACTCCCCCAAGTCCCAGACCTTGGGTCAGGTGCCATGTGCTCCAGCGCCGAGCATCCTGAAAGCACTGAGTAATTGATGAAACCTGCCATCAAACGAGTACTAGTGACTTCAGGTTTATTGATGTTATACTTTAAGGCCATGTGCCCCATAAGGTCATCTGTGGGTCACAAAGGTAGGATGGCCCTTAGTGGTTTATCCGGGGGCACAGGCAGGTGTCCGGGCATGGGACATCTGGAGGTGCCCAGAGCAATCTGGCACTTGAACTCCAGAGTGGTCCCCTGCTGGACGCCCTCCCCATAAAGACATAAAAGGGGTGTGTCCTTTGGGCAAGTCTCTAGTCTCATTGCACTCTGCCAAATGTCATGTCTCCCATCCTCACTTGGGGGAAGGGAGGGTGCTTCCTCTCCCTGAGGGGAGTAGACCGGGCTCAGAAAGGTTCCAGGTGAACTTGTCCTTGAGTTACTGTAGAATCTCCTCGAGGGGGAGGTTTGTGGTCAGGTTTAAAACATTGATGTCGATGTAGCTAATGAGAGAATCAGGCTGAGCGGTGTGTTTTTCTGTACTGCTCCTGGGTCCTTAGTCCTGCTGATGGATACTTGGTCCTCGGTCCTTGGTCAGGCTGATAGGTCCTTGGTCCTTGGTCTTTGTTTCTGCTGATGGGTCCTTGGTCCTTGGTCCTGCTTGTTGGGACCTTGGTCTTTGGTCATTGGCCCTGCTGAGGGATACTTGGTCCTTGGTCCTGCTGAAGAGTCCTTGGTCTTTGACCTGTACTCGGTCGGGCTGATGGGTACCTGACCCTGAGTGGCACTGCCTCCGTCCCTCCGTCCCTCCGTGGCTCAGTCCCAACTGCGGGCTTCGGCAGCTCTCAGCTCAGGCAGTGCTCCTTGCCGCAGGGTGTTGCCTGGGAGCGGCTTGCTTTTCTTGGCTGAGGCTGAGTGTCCATCTCCGATTTAGGGGGGATCTCTTGGACAGACCGAGGACGAGATAAAAGTCCTAGATGTGACCGCTGTGCACCTCCCTTCTTCCTGTGGTCCCTGCTTGGGGGTGGCGGTGGGGCACTGCTGGTAGGAGAGATGGGAGAAAGGCCTGAGGGCCACAGCTCTGCGAGGGGAAGGTGAGGGGGTGGGGTGGGAGCTCAGCGCTGGTACAGCCGTATGATGCCGGCCTTGTGCAGGTCCTTCCACAAGGCAGCTTCTAGAAGCAGGTCGTGGTTTATGTAGAACATCAGGGGCCTCTTCTCTCGGTCGAAATAGTGCTCCGAGAAGTGCTGGTAGCGCCCTGTGATGAATCCGTAGGCACTGACCTGCAGGGGACAGTCCTCGGGTTGGTCTGTATACCCAGGCCCAGCCCTCTGCCTTCCCTGGGGACCCTTGGGCGAAGGTGCAGACAGACAGGAGGCAGCATTCTTCATCCCCGCTGGCTCTGCCAGCAAACTCCCACAGCCTCTTCCGGCAGCCTTACCTCTATGCGGTGTGCTTACTCCCTACCCCCTTCCAAATGGGGCCCAGGTCCAGAGAGACCACCCCACGTGTCCCCAGTCACGCCACCGGCGATGGGCAGTGCCTGACCTTCCATCACCATGAAGGCAAAGGCCCAGACCCTGTCTCACTCAGGTGGCCAGAGGCGCCTGCTCTGAGCCGGAAAGGTGGTGGTGGCCCGCTAGATGGCCCTGCTAGACAATCCCCTGTCTCTGGGGTGAGTCCTTCCCTTTTCTGTTTTGAACCTGAATCCACTGGCCATTAATCTAACTGTTCTCCTTCAGCCCCACAGGTGGTGACTGG